CTGTAGAAACGACACAATAAAAATACTTCATTTTTAATTTTGGCATAAAATAATATTTTTCGAGTCTAGTAATCACTCAAGTTCAAATATTAATTAATTATATAAAAAAAATAAAGACTTAAAACTGTAAAACAAACTCCATCTTTTGCTGATGTTTTTTGTGTAATTTTTCGATTTTCCAACCATAAATTTTAGTACTTAGCAATAATTACATTATTGTTTATTGAAAAAAAGTTGGTAAATAAAAATATTCCATATATAATGTGACGCCGTTTCTTGTAATAATCAATTCAATTTCTGAATTAAATAAGAATTCAATAAAAATTTCCACAAACACAGCCCGGTAAATTGCGTTTTTTCGAAAAATTCTGGATTATGATTCAAGTGACAATATCACTCGAGCGCTTCACAGATCTAGAAACACTCCAAGTCCGGAACTTTCCACGTTCGCCTATATAAATACCCGTCCTCGGCGCCTCCACGCCAGAATCGAATCAAAAGTGCAAGTGAAAAATAAGCGATCAAAGCGACTTCAAAACCAATCTAATCACAATGGCTTTGTGGTTGTACACCGACCCCTTCGACTACTACCGACCATCCCGTTTCCTGGAGCGTTGGTTCGACCCGGAGGACTGCTTCTTTCCCCAGGAGTTCCGCCATCTACTCCGACACCCACAAGAGCATGAATCTAGTGTCAACTTCGACAAGGATAAGTTCCAGGCCAACATCGATGTCCAGCAATTCCGACCCGAGGAGATCACGGTGAAGGTGTCGGATGACACCGTCACCGTCGAGGGCAAACACGAGGAGAAAAGGGACGAACATGGGTACATCTCGAGACATTTTGTTCGGAAATATGTGTTGCCGAAAGGGCATGATGTGAATCGAGTGGAGTCGAAGTTGTCTTCTGATGGGGTGTTAACCATCACAGCCCCCAAGGTCGGGGATGGGAAGGACCACGAGAAGAGTATTCCCGTAGTGCAGACGGGGCAGCCCACACCAGCGGTTCAGCAAAAACAAGAAGAAAAGAAATAATTTCTCGAGTTTAAAATTAATCTTTCATTATTATTAATTAATCAATTTTCTAAGTCATGTATGTAATGAAATAGACTGATTTTTGTGATATTGTTAAGATAATAGTGTACATTTAAGTTTTGTTACCCACTTAAAATAAATAAATAAATTTTACTCTGGTTAGACTTGGGTTTTATTTAACACCTTATCACTTTGAGTGGTCACAAAACAATTTATCTGAGCATTATCATCTTTAGTAAATTTGAGTTTTCTTGCTTGTTGAAGCTGAAAAAATTAAACAAGAACTGTACAGGTGTCCCAGCGAGTTGGTAAACTCACTTGGGTACTCTCTGCAGCAGTATTTTCAAGTATATATACAAGGTGTATCAAAAATAAATACGAATGTATATGTTTTTTAATGAAACACCTACGATTTTTTGGATTTTTACCTAGATGCAGCTTAATTCCAAAGATTTTAAACTTACTTTTTTAATATCTCGATTTTCTTACCAAATTCACTTTTTCTTCTTTAATTTAGTACTTATACAAAAACTAAGATTCCCAGAAATACCGAGGAGTAAATTTTCAAAAGTTTTTAGAAAAGAAACTTTTAATTTCAGGGCAACAACATTTTTGTCGATGATTATTGCAAACAATGAAGTGAAAAAAATAAGTTTATTAAAAATGAAATAAATAAAAATAAAACACCCTATTTTTTAAAAGTTGCACAAATTGGTTAAAGTCAAAGTGGATTTCATTTTCTTATAGTGAATATTTTTTGTTTTTACAACTAATAGATTAGGTATTAAATAATGTCCATCTAAAAATGTAAACTTTCAGATGCCTAGAATTTTTGTTTACTGAAACAATATACAACATTATTTGTTTAACGTTTAAAGTTAAATATTTTTTGATTTACCAATTTTAAATATACAATTTAAAAATTAGTTGCAAAAAATAAGGTTTCCCAGTATTCCCCATATAAGTTTTTCAAGTTATATTTAACTATTCAGAAACTTTTAATTTTTTTAACTTTGCGATTGTAATACATGAAAAAAAATTGCATTATAAAGTTTGTACTAATTTCTTTCACGATGTAAAATTCATATTTTTTTATTATTTTTAGTTTTTGTGTAATATTTTTTTAAAGTATGTTTTTATCAAAGAAATCGAATGAAGGCAACTCTGAAATTAACCAATTTCGCAACATTTTTGAATTAAACTAAAGTCAAAAATGATTGGTTTCTCCATGGTTACTCACATTATAATAATGGCCGATCTTAAACTGTCCAATCACAATGCTTACAACTTTTACAATAATCCTTACCTATTCGATTGATAGTTTTTAGAGAGTGCCAGCGAAAGTGTTTTCTTCAAAGAAATCAAGATATTTCAAAAGCTAAGCAAAATCGACTAAAGTTTAGTTGAAAATCATCGAAATCAAAAGCTACATCGAAAAATGCAAAAAACAAAGGTGTTTCATTAAAAAAAAACAAATTTGTATTTCACTTATTGTTAAAACATTTACAAATATACACTTGCAAATATTTCTATAATATTTAATAATAATAGTAATATTAATAAAATTAATTAACATTTAAATGTTGGTAATTGACTTGCCAACTCGCTGGGACACTCTGTTGTATATTTATTATTATTGTTTGTGATTGAGGTTATGTTCTGATGTAAAAATGTAAATTCTTGTTTACTTTTCCTTGAAATGGAATTTCTGTTGATAAAACTTATGCAGGTAGACAAAAATAATTATGTAGGCCCTAGATTTTTAGGTACATAATTAATTATCGATTTTTTTTCAGAAGTGATTCATAGTGCTTTAATAACGAAACTCTCACCTACCTTTACAAGACAATAATAAATAAGATTCATCTCTTTATTTATTTAAACCCAAATGGCAGCTTTTACAGGAAGCGAGTTCAACAACCTCGCTAAACTCCTCTTTTAATGCCTCAGCACTACCAACCCAGATTTCGACAATTTCCATGTAAAACTAACGTATCCCCGAGTTCAGTTTGTTTTAAAAGACATGCAGCTATACCCTAAAGTATTTGCGAAATTTACCGAAGACAAAAAAGATGATCAAGTCGCATTGAAGCATTATGAAAATGGAAGGCTTGCTTTCAACAATTTGAATTATTGGGCTTTGAAGATTACACTCGGTGTATTCCAGGCCATAGAAAGCGAGCAGAATGTTTTTTTTTTCATCTTAAAATGAAGATCAGGTGTGAAGAGGTGAGATGCTTAATACTTACCAAAAACTTGATGGGTTTATTTTTAAGGAAATTGAACGCGCGCAAAGACAGTTTGAAAAAGGAAATTGATGATCTTGTTGCGAAAATAAAACAAATTTAAGATATGACTTCCAATAGTTACAGTATTGAATCAATTACCGATTGTAGCAACTTTCACAAAAACGACCACATTCAAGCGCCAACAGCTGTATTAAAATAACCCCCAGTTCGAACTTTATTGTCGCAAGTCGAGACATCCAAATTGGGGAAATACATACAAATACAAATAGATACACCGAAATTCATTTTTTGAAACCACACGCTGCATTTTTACGTTTCGATATTTTTCACCAAGCGATTGTGACCGCATTGTGACCACAATATATGAGTTTTGTTTTGACACTCAAACCAAATTCAACGTGTTTATGATGTTGCAGAGTTGCAAAGGAGCTCCAGTGCGGTAAAAATTTACGAATTTGCGCAAAAATACCATTTTTGTAGCACTGCTAACTACGGCTTGGGTCCTACTCGCTTTTTTTGTGTTGTTTTCGTGTTGTGCGAATGTTATGAAGACTTATTACGGAAATGTTATGGTTTTGCGTGCTTTAAACACTATTAAACAAGGGGAATTGTGTTTTGTTAATCGATTTGGGTAAGAATCGCACGTTTGTCGCAATTTTTGTTAATTTGGTTTTTAATTCTAGTCTTAGATACGACGCTGCTGATAAAAAAACATGCCAAACATTTCTCGCAGATTATAAAATTCCGTTTTGTGATTGTAGGACATGTGAGGAAGATTGGGTCCCGAATTTAGATGGAGTTGAAGCAATTTGTCAAAACTGGATATTTCTGTTATGGATATAGGGTAGATTGTGAGAGATTTAATTGGAGTAAATGTGGATAAGGCTAGTGATTTTTTGCCGCTATTGAAGGAAGAACTCGAGAAGTGTGAGTCGGTTGAACCGAAAGGAAGAGCATTGGCTTTGAAACATTTAATTGTTCATTGTTTTGTGATATTTGGGAACAAAAAAATACAAAATAACGGCCGTGATGTTGTTTTTTATATTTAAAGAGTATACTGCTTATATTGTTTTATTTTTATGGGCTTATTTATCTGAACAAAATAGTCGTTATTTAACTTAAATATGTATTATACTTTGCACTATTATAGTATACCATAGCTACATTTTTTACACTAAACACAAATGCGTTATTATGGTTATTAATAATTGTTAAATTGAGTTGTTGGTTGATATGTATACCGTTTTTTCTCACCTGAGGATGACCACTTTGTGGTCGAAACGCGTTGTGCTATTAAAATAAAAGTTTGGTGTGACGGGCTAATCGTGTTTTTGTTCATGTATACCGAAAATCGGTTAAAATTTTGACACAAATTGAAAAAAAACTACTAATAAGACCCCTTTACACCAGTTTGTTTTTTAACTTTTTCCTCATTCGTGTTATGCTAATGTTATGAAGACTTATCAGGGAAATGTTATTTTGTGATGTTTATTTTGACTTTGTTTTCAAAGGTATGTTTAACAAAGCAAAACTATATGGGCTTGTTTTACCCCGTTTTTTAAAGTACCTTTGTTAAAAGTTAAAATTCGTTTTTTTTTTGCCCTGTTTTTGTATTGGGCTAATTGAGCACAAAAATAAATACGGTTTCGGACAAACAAATTCGGACAAGTCCTCATGAGCGAAGCGAATTCACAGCTCTGTTTTTTAAGGTATCATAAAAAGAATTAAAATGTCAACCTTAAATAGAGAGCACAGAGCACACATAACATTTTCATTAAAAATTGGAATTATCGTAATGAAGAATGGGAATATAAATTACCAAATTCGCTAATTTTGAATGAAACTGAAGTCAAAAGTGATTGGTTTCTCCATGGTTACTAATATTTTAATAATGGCCGCCCTCAAACGGACCAATCACATCACTGCATTAAATTTTGAATGAATTCAAAAATCTAAAGTGATTGGATTTTTACATTATTGTGATGGACGACCTTAAATCGCCCAATCACAATGCTTACAACTTTTACAACAATCCTTACATTATTCATTAATAGTTTTCTTAGAGAGTGCGATGTTTGCTAGCGAATATCTCGAAAACTGTTTGAGATACAAAGATAGCTCTTGGAGAAAAATTTATAATCTTTAATTTTGTACATACCTACCATTTTTTTAAGTCACACCTTTTTGCCGCCTTCTTGCGCCCAACTCTACTCTAGTATGTTCACTTTTTAAGTTACTCAAATACAGCTCTCCAATCAAAAGTTCTGTTCTCGGCCTTGGATTCTACAATTTGGCTGTTGTCTGATGGACTATTATAGAATTTAGTGGATAAGAATATAAGCATGTATGTAGTTTACATGCAATTTGCATATTATTCTAGCTCTAAATAAAAATGATAAAAATAGAAAATTTTTCTTGTAATTATAAAACAGCTTTCACCAATATTATAATACTTTAGTTTCAAAAATCTGGTATGAACATCACAAGTAAAAATAGGTGTTAACGTTCTTTTCATCGAAATATCAACACCACCCACCCCCATTAATTTTCAATTAGATTATTATACCGCCACCAATAAGTTTTGTATTTTTTTATTGTTTTAAGTGAAAAAAGTAAACAAGAAATTACAAACTATATTTACCTATTATTCTTTATTGCTTGCATCACATTGCATGTTAAACAACTTAAACACAAAAACAATTAATTTAAGTATTTAAGTTTACTAGAACTACTGCTTGTTGCTTCTTTTTTACTCATCTTCCTGCTTTTCTGTGTTAATTTTCTGAAAATGACTATTTAAATTGTTTTTTAAGTATCGTTTGGTATCAGTGTGTGTTAGAGGCAGAGAGGTGACACTTATTCTCTCTACTTGCAACTTTTTTACTGCTTCTCCAAAAGACTCGAATCATTTTGACCTTGATGAGTTTGTTTCTGGAGCCCTTTACCCTTTTTAGTCATATTTATCTTGTAATTTTTAATTCTGTTTTACTAAAACGTGCAAAAAATATTGAAAAATAACAATTCTGTGCTTCCCCCACTTTCTTAATAGTAAACTGAAAATCCCTAAGAGTATTGGCCAACCTGATTATAGTTTACATTTTTCGACATTGTTCTAAGCTAATTTAAGCTTGATTTTAGTGAAAAGATGTTCAGGTAAGACACTTTTAAAACTGTAATACTTCAATTACATGAAATTCTAGTCCTTTCGATAACTTTTTTAACGCATACGATAGTGATGAAGACGAGAGATATGATATTCCCAAAGCGTTGTTATCTCAAGCACTTCAACGTAATCCAAACTATCTCAAACTATTTTCTGCTATAAAATCGAACTCAAAACGAGTTGATTTCGTTTATGGTGACTTAAAAAAGTACAACTTACTGAAATTTGTTCGAGACGACAAAGATCATTACGTCTCCATTAAATGTAAAGAATTTGGGGACAATTTTTCACAAAATGGATTCTACAGTGAAGCCTCAGTACAATACACTATTACTATTACAACAGCAAAAACCCCTCAAGTCCTAGCATCAGCATATGCTAAAAGAGCTAACAGTTTGTTTATATGTCACAAATACGACGAATGCTTAGCGGTGAGTATAAGAAATTTGGTAGCTTAGTTGGTCATAATTAATTTAACAGGACATCGAGCGTGCTCTCGCCCTCAACTGTCCACAGAGTGTGAAAAAACAGTTGGCTACACTGCGAACAAGAGTTGAAAGAATTTTTAAACGTCCGAAACAACCTTACCACGAGCCTCTACCCACAATTCGCAAATCTCGTAAAAATCCTCAAATTCAATGTGCAAAAAACTGCGTTGAAATCAAACACAACGAAACTTTCGGTCGACATGTTGTAGCAACACGAGATATAAACATTGGCGAAGTTATTTGCATTGAAAAGCCGTATGCTAGCATATTGTGCGACTTTGCTCCTTCATATCAGCATTGCCACCACTGCCTGGAACTGTGCTACAATCCTATACCCTGCGAAAAGTGCAGTCAGGCTTGGTACTGCACTGATGATTGTCGTGAAGAAGCCCGAAACATGTATCACAGCTACGAATGTTTGATACTTAAGGATGTTTTTGCGATTACTAAACCTCGTGAATTACTTGCATTAAGAGTAGCAATTTTGGCCAAAAATGATTATAAAAACTTGGATTTTTCGGGTTTGGACGGTGATGTTTACCGTTCAGATAGATACCAAGAGATTCATAATTTGATGACAGGAGAAGATGGCCGACCAGTTGATAAATTATTTGAAATGGCTGTTATGGCAGCTTGTATGTTTCACTTGTTGCAAAAAACGGATTTTTTTAATGAACCACAAAGCGATATTTTAGAAAATAACTTCAAAGAAGTTCTCCTCCACCAAATGCAAATAATTGATTTAAATAAACTGGTAATATATGAAGACCTTTACTCTCAAAGAAACGAGTCAAGGCTTAAAATTTGTGGGGATGGATTATATTCGTTTTGCAGCTTATTTAATCATTCTTGTTTTTTTAACGTTGATTATGTCCACTATGGCGCCACTATCGTTTTGAGGGCTATTCATTCGATCAAAAAGGGGGAACAGTGCTTTATTAGCTACGGGTAAGCAATACTAAAATTATTTTTTCTAATTTGCGTTTATAATACCTTTCTCTCAGTAGGAGTCGTTTATGGCTATCTATACAAGCACACTGTACTTTAATGAATTTAGGGTTATTTAGTTTTTGTATGCCGCTTCTGACTTGTCTGGTAACAAATTTTGCGTTGTTGCTTCGGTAATTTCGCGAATCTCGGCCGGAGTGCAAACTAAATTCTGTTGGCTCATATTTTATTTATTATTATTATGTTGTAACACTAATAACTAATAATTTGTAAATTTTATTTTTAATGACAGACGGCAGAAATGATTCAAAAAATCAGGTGGGCGCCCAGTGTTACAAACCGATACCAACTAACACAAAATTCTCTAGACGACAAAAATATATATTTTTTTAATTAAAATAAGAAAAAGGGAGCGCAAATTAGAAAAAAATAGCATAAAATACTCGTTTTATAATGGCAAATCAACTTATAAAACTTGTTCTTTAATATACTATTTGTTACAAAACAATTATTTTAGAGCCGAATTTGGAGATGCTACCAAATATGAACGACAGTCATTTTTGAAGAAACATTATTTTTTCGAATGTAAATGCGAGGCTTGTGCGAAGGATTGGCAAAAAGGATACGATTTGTTACCTTTTAAGTTTCCTCTACACTTGGATTTGAAAATGAGTGAGTTTGAGGTAGCAACTTTGAAAGAAGGTGTTGCAAGGCATGATGTTGACGTGGTAAAACAGTTTTTGCGACGTGTTGAACAACAGAGTCAACGGCATGACGTGTACAAGCCTTTGGGGAATACCATCGAAATGAAGAAACTGATCGAGAAATGCCACAGGGTATTAGCCAACGGCAGAAATTAATTTTTTTATTTTGTATTTATAATTTTTTTTGAATGTTTTACTCTAGTTTATTTTTTGTGTTTGTTACTTAAGAAAATTACCAGTTAAAATAGTCGTGTGCCTTTGGGGAACATCATGGAAATGTAGAAACTGATCCTAGAGGTGCCGTAGGGTAGAGATTATCTTTTTATTTTTGTGTTTATGTTTTCTATTTTTGAATGTTTTGCTTACTATAGTTAATTTTTTGTGTTTGTTACTTAAGAAAACTGCTAGTTACTTAATAAAGTTTATTAACAATTGATAATTATTCTCTATTCAAATCCTCTCCTCCAATCATGGCCAACAAATCATCTCTCAAAGACCCATCCTCCTTATCACCGACCACCAAATCACCTATCATATCCTCAATTTGCTTTTCCTCAGTATTAACATCGATATTATCAAACGTAGCTTTAGTTTCGTTATTATTTCCATTCTGTTCGTCAATAGCCAACCGCAAGAAACTCCTGTTGTCGTTATTTCCATTGCTCAGCTTCCTCTCTCCCAAAATCTGGTCAACAAACAATTGCAATTCGTTCACTTCCGGTTCTGGTTTATTCTGATTCCTCTCTAAAATCCTCCCATTATTCGTCACTGAGTAGATATTCTCCCCCAAATTCTCCAGCATCTTCTCAGCTGTTGGATCCAAATTCTCAGTAATGAAGATTCCTTCCATGTTTTGCAACCCCATCCTCAGTAGAAGCGACACACGCACATTGACATCTTTCAACCAGAAGATAATGTCATCTCTGAGCTCATTCTTCTCTTTCACTGATAAAATTTTCTTAAAGTTGTCGACAAGGTTTTGCACTTTGTGTAACTGAAGTTGGGTCTCTGGGTTGGTGACGTAGTTCTCAATCTCGTAGAGGTGCCGTAGAGTGACTGCGATGACTTCCTTGGAGATGGTCACTTGCCATTTGAAGACCATGGTGATGAGGTCCCACAGTTTGTTCATGCTGGTGGGATCGAGACGCATCATTGAGGACTGGGTGACGTCTTCGATGATGTCGCGGATTTGCTCATGGCTGTAGGTCGCTTGGGGTTTCATCAGTTCGGTCATGAGCTGTTTTGATATGAGCACTGAGATGATCTCGTCAAGCACTGAAATGTGGAACTAATTAAAAAAAAAATCTGCAAGAGTGTATAACTTGTTCTATTTTCACCATTTTCAAAATAAGTATTTTTTAATTAACTGATTAACAACTTTAATTGCAAGGACCAATAAATAATTTATTTCACGACTTTTATTGTTGTAGTTAATGAAAACAATACAACATTCTGAAAGAAGTTTATTTTATTTGGTTGGCTTTGTAGTTAGATTTTTATTTGTGTTTTTCTTTGTTGTTATACAGGGTGTTCCAGCGAGGTGGTAAAACCAAATTATTGACTTTAATTTAAATGTTGCATCACCTTTCCCATTTTCCCTCACCATTTATATTCGCATGCGCAAATTGTGATCATCCGCCATCGCGTTCTTCCTCTTTTTAACAATTTTCATTTTGTGTTATTTTTGTTAATTTTTACAAAAATCCTCATAATGGCCTTTACTACAAAGCGATCAAGAAAGGAAACTGAATCTAAAAGTTATCTCTTTCTGCTTGAGTTGTGTGTAAAATTCGGAAGTTTGCAAGCCTGTTCGGCATTCCTGAAGGAATTAAACGGGAAGAAAACCCATGAGGAGAGCCTTGATTTCATGTACAAAACTCTCGAGAAGCACAAGTTGTTCCAAAATAGGTTTAAAAGAGATGAAAAATGTGATTTAATGGCCAATCAGTTTAAACTTCTGGGGAATGTACATTTTGCTGAGGGGGACTATAAGCGGGCTTTGAAGTTATATACCAGGGCTATAATGGGGGCCAAAGGGCAAGAAATGCTTGCTGTGTGCTATGCTAATCGTTCCGCTGTTTTATTCAAGTTGGGGTTGTATGAAGAGTGCTTGGTTGTAAGTATTTTCCAAAAATGTTACAAAACTTTAGTTCTGTCTTGTTAGGATATTGAAAGAGCTTTAAGTAACAATTATCCCAATCGTTTGAAACCCAAATTAGTGTCACGACGTGCTAAAGCTCTCGAACTCAAAAAACAAGAACCTAGAGTATCTTTTCATGAGAAGGCTCCTAAAATCCCCACGTTTCGAAGAAACTCTTCATTTCCTTGCGCTACCAATTCGGTATCTATTGTAGTCGGTGATAAATCCCGAAAACACGTTGTTGCCACTAAAGACATACAAGTTGGAGAAGTGATTGCAGTAGAAACGCCTTTTACTGCAGTGATAACACCTTTCCTCCTGTTTCACTGCTGCGACTGTTTCACTCTATGTTACAACCCCATTCCTTGCAATTCTTGCACTGAAACTGTCTACTGCAGTGAGACATGTAGAGAAAATGCCTTTACTAAATACCACAAGAAAGAATGCCCCATTCTCCGTTCTATCAAAGAACTAATTGGAAATGATTCCCGCCACTTTCACTATGCCCTTAAAATGGCTTTCTACGCTCAAGAAAAGCACATTTCACACGCAAGCAAGTGTTGTGATAGGCAAGATTTTGTGGATGATAGTACCATGACATTGATGGCAACCCTATTTTACTACCTCGTTGAGACATACACAACGGCTTTGCAAGGGGTAGGCGAAGCCGGTGTGAAGGATTTCAAAAAGGCTTTGATGTCGTACATGCACATTTGCGAACACCATATTTCAGACATTTCGGAAGTTTACCTTAACGATGGAATAAATAATGAGTTATCACTGTACAAGGACGATTTTGCAAAGGCAATTTATCCGTTTTGTGGCCAATTGAGACATTCGTGTTGCCCCAATGTTAACGGGTGGTATCATGGGGTGACGAAGGTTTTGAGAGCGGTCAGGACCATCAAGAAGGGGGAGGAGTGTTTTGTCTCCTATGGGTAAGTTGCGCAACATAGCTGTTTAAAATGAAAAACATGTTTGTATTGGAACTTATTTTTGAAACAGCCTGTACACTTGAAAATATTTTAAGGGATGCAGGGAGTTAATATACACACATTTTTGATAATTTTTAACATTTATTGACAGGTCAATAATTACTTTACCAACTCGTTGGGACACTGTATAATTTTATGTCTAAATTCAGAGTTTTACACTAATTAGAAATTGCAATTTTGTGTTTACAGGGTGTTTCAAAACTCGCGCTCCAAACAAAAATGCCAAGTAAGATATCAGGAACATGGAAAATATGTTTAAGAATTCTGTAAAAAAATTTTGATACTTATTTATTTTTTTACATTTTTCATTTTTTATATGTGTATTTAATGATTGTATATGTTTTTTCATAATTTTTCAGTAAATGTAAAAAAAAAACAATAAAAGCCACAAATAACGTTAAACATAGTTACAATTCAGAATACAGCTTCTTTGTTTCCTCTTCTAATAGCCTGCAGCAAAAAACATGTAAAATTATTTTTCCAACAGATATAAATAGTCAAAATGCAAAATTTAAACCTCTATATTTTCGAAATTCTTAAAGATATAATTTTTGAACATTTCTTTCTATGTTCCTGGTATCTTACTTAAGATTTTTCTCTAAGGCGCGAGTTTTGAAACAGCTTATATTTATATGTATTGTTGTATTCTTGTTCAAGAGTTTATTTTATTTAAATTCGAGATATTGTTTATAAACTGACGTGTTTAGGATATGTACTCGTATTAATAAACTGATTGTTCGTCACGGAATGAATAATGTGAACCATTGAAAATTTAATGCAATCAATATCAATATCACGATCGCTGTTTCGTGTGCACATATTATTTTGCATACACCAGCTCGGCAATTTCTAAATCAAAATTATTATTTGATTGTATTTTTTTTCTGCAGGCCCCTTTATTCCGTCATGGGGAGAAAGGATCGTCAAAATTATCTCTTTTTCATTTACAATTTCAAATGCAGATGTCAAGCTTGCAAACAAAATTGGTATTTAAAGGAAGATTTGTCAGCTGAAGAAGCTCTTGTGAACCACATGCTCTTGTTCAACAATAATAAATTTCACGTTGACGTCGCGAAAGCTCTTATTAATCGAAAAATTCAATTGGTAAAGGAACTGGAAAAGAGTGAACCAAATGATGAATTAATTCACCAACAAACAACGCTATTTAATTGCTTTTTGGTTCTAGCTAACAAGCGAGTGCCGTTCTAATTTTTCAAGTTTTGTTTTTCAATTTACTGATTACTATAGTTTGTTACGAATACGATTTTTTTTATTTTTTCATTTTGTATTTTTTCTTAATAAAATGGTGTTATTTGCATTATTTGTGTGTTTGAAAGCTTCCTTGTGTGTAAATGCGGTGCAAAAAAAGCGATTTTTCACCTAAATTCGTTCGGTCGAGTGGGACATTTTGAGCTTGGAGTCTTTGAGCAACGACAAAAACCATCTCTGAGCCAAGATTGAGCACAACGAAAGGTGTTACATAGTGTGACATTTTGCCGAGGACTGCAAAAACAATCGATAGCGCGTTAAAATGGCCATTGATACGATTCGATTCAAAACACCACAAGTGGTGCCATCTCGGGGTCACCTTCCTCGAACCGCGATTCTATCTCGTTTGAAAAAAGTCGCTAGTTTTTGTGTACGAAAATGAGTGTGGCGAGTTGTATTGCGAAAGTTTTTAAAAAATTGGGGCAAATCTCCACTTTTGTGCAGTTTCAAAGTCAGCTCTTGGCTTGTGTTCAGGACGACACGCGGAATTCGGGAGAGTTTGTGCGGGATTTTCACAAGTTGGGAAGCAATGTCGAAAAAGTGGATTTTTTGTATGATAAGATGCGACAATACGGGTTGCTTGATGACAAGTACACCAAGGATGAGAAGGATGATAAGAAAGCGAAGAAACACAAGGAAAAGGGAGATAAGTTATTTGCGACAGGGGCTTATTCTAAAGCCCTTCAGTGTTATACTAGAAGTGTTATGAAGGCTAAAAGTCCAGAAGTCTTAGCCATGGCTTACGCCAACCGGTCTGCTGCTTTATTCAAACTAGAGCAGTTCGAGGAAGCTCTAAGTGTGAGTAGCAAAAGTATGAAATATGTACTCTATAAAAATTTTAGGACGTGGAAAGGGCTCTGTCGGGTGATTACCCTGAAAATCTGAAACCAAGTCTAGTGACACGTCGGGAGAAACTTTTAGGTTTTATGGGGGCACACGGACCTGCTTTTAATTTCTTCGAATCAGTTCCGGAAATCCCCGAGGACCAGAAAAATGCCTCAATTCCGGGCGCTAGCTCTTGTATTGAAATAAAACCGGATGAAAAGTCCCGACGTCGAGTTTTCGCAGCCCGGAAAATCGAAATCGGGGAAATAATCGCAGTGGAAAAGCCTTTTACTTTCACACTCGCCGCTGCGGATCTCTACCACTGCCATGAGTGTTATCAACTGTGTTACAACCCCATCCCGTGTGAAATTTGCAGCCAATCATTGTACTGTGGGGAGGAATGTCGGGAAAATGCCCGGGAAAAGTACCACCAATACGAATGCCCGATTTTAATTTCCTTGAAAAACATGGTGGGAAAACACAAGGCTTTTCTTTTAGCAATCAAAATGTCGTTTATAATTCCGGATGAAGATGACGCTCCAGAAGTGTACGCTTTAGTGGAAAATCTTAATCGGAAAAACAGCGATGAAGTCTTCACCACAGCTTTAATAGCAGCCTTAATGTACCACTTGGTGAAAACCTACACCGGAAAATTTCCCGAAGACGATTCAGAAGCTGAAAACAAGTTCAAACATTTCCTTATGATCCATTTACGAATTTGCTTGACCCATGCTGCTGGAATCGACGAGCTTTGCCCCAACCAAGCCTCCGAAGGTCAAGAACCCGGCCAAGAACTGCTGCGATTCAAATCGGAAACCGTGGGTTGTGCCCTTTATCCCTTTTACGCTCTTTTCAGACACGTCTGCTGTCCGAATGTCTTTGCCCATCATCATGGAACCAAACGTGTCCTTAGAGCGATTCGAACCATTCAAGAGGGGCAAGAGTGCTTTGTGTCCTATGGGTGAGTAAGTAGTCATGCGAACCGCAGACTGAACAATTTTTTAGGCCTTACTACGTCGAGCACAGTAAAGAAGAGCGCCAAAATCGACTTTTGTCTCAATACCATTTCAATTGTAAGTGTAAAGCGTGTGAGGAGGATTGGCCCCAATTGGATTTGAACCCCTATTATTTGACTTCAAGGCAGGACTTGGAATTTGTGGCGAAAATTAGGGATGCGAATGTTGAAGCGGCTATTGAGGAGGTTCCGAGGTTCTTGAGGCGTTTAAAAGAGTTGGAGGTGTTTGAGCCTCTGTCGGAATTGACTCTCCAACAGAAACTCTTGTCTTATTGTTATGATATACTTGGAAATAAAAGAAGAATCCTGTAATTTTTTATTGATAAAGTACAGTTTGTGGCAATAGTAGTTTGTGTTTTATTGGGATAACTCCAAAGATAGAATCTCTGGTTAGATGTAAAGGAAATTACGAAAAAAACTTTATTTTTTGGATTGTGTTACAAAGATTGAGGTTATAGCCGTAATCCGTATTTTAAACACAAATTTAGGAATGACATGCTGTTGGAGAAATATATTCAAAACAATTATTCAGATAATTTTTCAAATTGCAAAATAAGACTAGAATAGTTGAGAACACTATTTTATTTTTAAATTTGCCGCTAGATCACATGTCAACATTCCAGCGCCTACTCACTCTCGGCGTGGAAGTGATCTATTTTCGTTTCTCTCCTCGTGTCTCAATTAATTTATCCTTAAAAACGTGGTGATTTATTACCTAAAATTCATTAATAAAAAATGTGTGAAAAATCCAATGAAAATTGCTGTAATTTCGTCAATTTCCTAAAACAACTGCGGTGTCATCTGTCGGCCACCGACGATGTTACATCCTTATCGCGACGTTTCGACGCGCTGAATTCGAATTTTGAACGAGTAAATTTTGTTGTGGAGTTGGTAAAATCAGCAAAAATAAACATCGAATTACAAAAAGACGTTAAAAGTGATGAAATTGCGACGAAATTTCGCGAACAAGGTAACGAAATGTACAAGAAGAAAAAACTGAAAGAAGCGTGGGAATTTTACACGAAAAGTGTGTGTTATGCGGAGGAAAACAGCGTGAATTTGGGGCTAGCCTATGCCAATAGGTCGGCGGTTTTGTTTGAATTGGATTTGCACAAGCAGTGTTTAATGGTGAGTGGTTTGGAAGCATTGTTAGGGTTAAAATCGTTTTTATTTTCAGGACATAAAGCGCGCTTTGGACCACAATTATCCCCAACATCTTAAACCGAAATTATTTGTAAGAGAAAAGAATTCGAAAAATACGGAAATTGAAGCTTTGACTCCACATGAAGCGATCCCAATTGTTACAAACAACAATCCGAGAATTCAGAGCGCTAGTGATTGTATTGCCGTACAAGAAGAGGAAAATTGGGGCCGATTTGTGGTGGCCACTAGGGACATTAAAATCGGGGAAGTACTTGCTGTGGAAAAACCGTTTGTTGTTTTTGTAGTCAACGAATTTTTGAATCATTGCCATGAATGCACTTCTTTGTGTTATAACTTAATCCCTTGTAAAACATGCACTCAAGCAATGTATTGTAGCGAAAGTTGCCGAGATTATGCTTTTGATAAGTACCACAAGTATGAATGTCCGATTCTTGCAACTCTCCGATTTTTACAATTCGATAAACTTAAGTTATTAGCGTTAAAAATCGCACTTTTGGTCCGAAATCGTTACAACGAAATTGACAATTTGGGTAAAACCCTTGATTTTTATCGATCAGATTGTTACAAAGAGATTCACAATTTGGTATCAAACACCACGAAACGGTCCGTATCAGATCTATTCGAACGGGCCACAGCTGCAGCTTTAATTTATGACTTGGTCAAGACCCACACGAAATTTTTCACTGACTTTAATGAAACTACTTTTAAAGAAGTTTTATTGCTGCATATGCAAACTGGACCTTCCAATTTCCACGAAATCGTCGAACTTGTACCCAATTCTAGTGGTACTTACGAACCCGAAGAGATAGCAAGTGGCGCTTTTGCCTTTTTGAGCCTTTTGAACCACTCTTGTTGTCCCAATGTGGCCCGATTTTCCTACGGCTCTACTCTAGTTCTCCGAGCGATTCAAAATATCCAAAAAGGGGAGCAGTGTTTTGATAATTATGGGTAAAGTACAGAAATTTTTGTGAATTGTATATTTATTGTTACTATTTTAGGTATCATTTCGCTTTGATGGATAAAAACGAGCGCAAAAAACGCCTTCAAAGTCAGTATTACTTTGATTGCGTTTGCAAGGCTTGTGAAAATAACTGGCCTTTGTACGACTCTTTGCCCAGTTTTGGTAAACACGAAATTGAAGATTCTATCTTTTCGAAATTGTCATCGGGTGATGTTGAGACTGCGGAGACTGTTGTGATAGATTTATGTGCGAAATTAGGGGAATTACAGAAATTGCAACCGTGCAAGGACTTTTGCCAACTGCAGGAAATTGTAAAACAGTGTTTTGTTGTGATGGGTAATAAAAGAAAGATATTTTAAAGTGTTGTTATTAAATAAATGATGGTATGCTTTTAAAATTGTTTTATTTTGTGTATAAAGTATTTACATAAAAACCGGTCAATACGAAATTATTCAGTTTTTTCTTGTTTTATTATTTTTCATGTGATATAACTTTTTATTTTGATTTAATGATAAGTAAATTGCGGCTAACGCACTGAAAACTCCATTTAAAAAAAAATAAACTTTAAATATTTTACTCGTAGCTGCTTTACATTTTATTTTTTTAAACAAAGAGACTTTTAATTATGATTAAAACAAAAGACTATAATTAGTACATTTAGTTCTCAACAGGTATGCATTTTCGTGGCTTTGTGTTGAACCAAACAAACTAAAAAGAATAGAAACCATAGAATGTAAAGTTTAATTAGTTTTATGCCATGAATAGAATGGAATTATTTACAAGTAAGAACATATGTTTTAAGTGAGATTTCGTGTTTATTATTATTATTTTTTTATTCTTTTGTAACAATCTGTGTGGTTCTTGTATTATAAAATACTAAGACGTTTAAATTTGTTATATGTGAAATTCCAGGATTAAAAATAACTAAATCATACAAAAAGTTTAAGCAAATATTTAGTAGAAGCAGCAAAGTTTGAAGTTTATCCACTGGCAGTAGCTCAGCTGCCGGCAGATTTTTTTGGTTTTGCTGCTAATTTCACTTTAAAAAAAATTGCTGTATTTTTGCAGTTTAAAATATTTTTTTAAACAATACCAATATTAGTTCTTGAAGAACTCACCCCAGAGATTATTAGCGATTAAAACCCTCTATATTTTAGAATTTAGGTTGGTATAATTTCTGCTATTAAACTTATCCTGTGTGTACATAATACTTTGGCATAATATTGAGTAGTTTATCAGAGAAATTTTTTTTGATAAGTATAAAAAAACAACGTTACAGCAGGTAACATGACGATATTGGGTCAAAATATTTAGATAATAATTAGCATATTGAACTTGAACGACGTTAAAACATCTAGACGTTTCTGTTTGAGATAGGTGGTTGATGTTGCCGTTATACAAATTGGTTTCATCTTCGTATTACAATTAGGGGCCGAGTTATTAATAATTGTTAATAATAATTGTTAACTGTTTATAAATTATTAATTACAGTAAATATTATTGTAATGTCACGGAAATTACATGTGTGCGCAAAATTTCAGTTTGTACGGAAAAGAGGAGCTGTTCTTTCTCACAAAAGACTGACAACAAAGCACGATATATAAATAAAAAAAAAAACTATTATAAAAAATATAAATTCATATAAATTCTTTATATGAGGAAAACCTGTCTCCAGCTTCTTTTTTGATACTTTAATGTTATGTAGTTGATAGATTAAAAGCTGTGACAGCCAGCCCACTGCGCCAATGCCGAGATCAAAATAATTCTTGTATTTTGGGGAGAGGGACACCGGTGCCGGCAGCGAAGGCACTGCTTTATACATTCGCGAATGTTTAGTTTTCCATTTATGACCCATAGGAACATTTTCTCTTTATTACTTTTGCTATTTAGGAAGGAACTAGTCTCCATACATGGACTCCACAATAAGTAGGTCCCGACAAGAATATTTAGCAGCTCATCCAAATAATCTGTTAATTGTAGGTATACAGGGTGTGTCAGAACTCGCGCCCCAGAGAAAAATTTCAAGTAAGACAACTACCAGGAATATGGAAAAAATATTCAAAAAATTCTATATCTGTCAAAAAATTTTGACGTTTACTTTTTGACAGTTCACATTTTTTACATCTATTTAATGATACTTATGATTTTGTATATGTTTTTTTTATAATTATTTGGTAAAGATACAAAAATTTTGCCAATAAAAGCCACAAATAACATTAAACAGAGTGACAATTTAGGATACAGCTTCCTGTTTCCTTTTCTAATAGCATGTAGCAAAAAAACTTGGAAAATTATTTTTCCTTCAGAAATAAAATAAGCCAAAGTGCAAAATTTAAACGAAATTTTTATAGATAGAATTTTTTTAACATTTTTTTCATGTTTCTGGCATCGTATCCTATTACATTGCATTTTTCTCTGGGGCGTGAGTTCTGGCGCAGCCTGTATAAGTTTCAAAGCTTAATACTCAACAATTGCGCCTGCGACAACAAAGGCTTCTACAGTAATAAACTCCTACTTTGAAGTGCATTTGCGATTGAAAAACCCATTAGCAGACAAAAAAGTTATTTTCTCGTAGTTTCTAGAATCAAAACTAAAGTTTGCTTTGCTGAAAATAACTTGACGTGAAAATTCCTATTAAATGTAAAAATAGGGTCTACTATAAACTAACTACACTTACGTATGTTTTTATGTTTTATCAGCCAATATTGGAATTTTCATGTTTTTTATAGAATTGTTTAAACTGGCTTTTTATCATTGAAAATGTAAAGTAATTTCTATGCTATATTATACAGGATGGTTCAAAAGTCTGGAAGCGATGTTATTCTGGCGAAACTATCAAATTTTTTGGCAAATAAATTTTTAGGTCTGCAATGGCTATAAAAATGCTATTCAAAAAAAATTTGAATATTAATTCATTGTTTATACTTACGAGATAAACATAGTAACTTTTTTTTTAATGGAAACCTACCACATTTTTTTTATACAACGAGTTTGTTACAAGAATTGTTGCTGTGCAAATTTTTTTTGTAAACCTCACACTTTTTGTTAAAAAAATGTTTGGCTTACAAGAATTAAAGAATTTTTTTGGAGTAAATTACCATTTTTTTTGGAAATAAATTAATAAATGTTTAAAGGTTGTAAAGGAGCGATGCCAAAAAAAATATTTTAATTAATTATTTAAACTTTTGGGATTATGATACTAATATATTTTTTTCCTAAATAAAAACGGTTTTTTATTTATTGTTTTACAAAGATATACAGGTTGTTCCAAGTAAAACTTGCGCCTTCTGAAATCTACGATTTCATCCAAGTTTCATTTTTCATATTTTATCAAAGTTTCAAATTTATTTCTGCATCCCTCCAACGCCCAGAGCCACCCCTTGTTTTGAAAAAACATTTCCATTTTAACAAATATACTGCTCAAAATATCGTCAAAATAATATGTCACGTTATTTAATGTTTTTTTGTTATTTAATCTTTGACTTGTTTCAGCATTTTTTCCAAACTTGAACGCAAAATTTAGTTTGGACACCTGTACTATCATCTATGTACAGGGTGAATTAATTTTTTTCCCTGCCAAGGCATTATTAATGTGACCATGAAACTGAAATGAATATTTTAATAAATTATTTATGAAATTAACAATTAAAATGTTAACTAGGTTTTGAAGCAATGCATTTCTTGTTTAGTATCTGTTCCGAATTGCTGTAGGGATTCCCCCAAGTGGTTGTCACCCTGTCACCTCTCTAATTTGAGACAGACATTACAATTGACTTTTGATTAATTATGATATTGTGACCGCTCTTTGATAATAAAATTCCGCAATAAACCTCGTGTTTTATTCACCTTGACCCCACGCAACCTATCTAACAGCCAAGACATTGTCTCTGCAGTCCCTCTCAAATGGTTTCGCGGAACAGCATTTGCTCCAAGTCGAATTCGTTCGTCAATTGCAAGCGCTCAAACAGTCTGGTCAAAGGCGCCAGTACGACCAGTTGTGCACTACCGCCAAAATGCACCTCATTTATCTCCTCTTGACACTTTCGTTCACTGTTGCCGAAGACTTGAAGTTGACCATTTTGCACAACAATGACCTACACAGCCGTTTCGAGGAGACTTCGCGTAATTCCGGCACGTGCAAAGATAAGAAGGAGTGCGTCGGAGGATTCGCAAGGACAGCACATGAAATCCGGAGATTCCGGACGGCGGCGAATGACTCCGGGAATTCGGTGTTGTTCCTAAATGCCGGGGATACGTATGTGGGGACGGCGTGGTTTGCGGTACACAAGTGGAAGATTTGTGTGAAGTTTCTTAATTTGCTTAAACCGGATGTGATGGTAAGGAAGTAATTCGTTTTTAACTACATTTTTCGGTTTCAAATATTTGAAAGTTAAATCAAACGTCACTTATCTTTAATTATAGGGATACAAGACTATTGTTGTTTTAAACCGCATAATAAAACAATAATCCTATAATACTGAGAAGGACTTTTTTTTATACTAGTAGTTATGATAAATTTGTTGAAATTAATGACTTTTCATTTATTTATTTATTAATATTAATAATGAGGTCGAGGTCTAGGTTTGCAGAAAATTCACTTTTAATTAACCAGAAACAATATTGTGGGATTTTTTTTAGTACCTACCTAACCAAATTTCAGACTGATGTTTTATAAACTTCCCAAAAATTTATTAATTTTTTTTTTATTAAAAACAGTGGTTATTATTTATGCCAAATCAGGTAAAACCGTTACTATTCCAAGGTTATTTATTAACTTTATGATTTAGTCACTTGTACAGAGCGTTATTTTATTTTTTATTTTAGACTATTTTCAAATACTTCAAATACCATGATTAAAATTCGATCATAAATAATTCTTTTATCGAAAAATATTATTTTATTGCAAAATGTTGATAACAGTCAAATGATAACGATATTTTGTCAAACATTAATATATAAATATATAAATTTTTGGTCAAACTGGAATAAATAGAAAATTATCTATTATAAATAGCGACGAAATGATTCCAGATTATTTAATTCCAAATACTGGTTTGTATAATGTTTTTTAAAAATAAATGAAGCATTAAAGTCGATAAGGTATCACCTAAGTATTAATTAATGTTTTCATAGAAAACGATTGTTTAGAATAAAAATAAGTTTGTTTTGTTTTTTGCTACGCAATTATTTTGTCATACCCGTTTTATATTTTGTACCTATAATATTTTTATAGATATATTATTATTATTTACTGTATAGTTTTTTCGCTTTTAATGTTTGACCATTATTCCCTCCACATACCATAAAGTGTAGTTGAAGTAAATAATTATAAAAATATAATTTGGGATTTCCTGTTTCACAATAATTTAGATATAGTTATTTATACCCACATTATGACGATGTTTTTGTTAAGTACAATTTTTATAATTTAATACATAAGTATTGTTTGTACAAAACGTGTCTTTTAAATAGTGTGACTTATTTTATACATGTACATTTTAAGCCTCTTATTTTTACAGTGTGAATATTATTTCTTATTTTAATTTTAAATAATTAATTTAAATTACAAAATATTGTAATACCCATTTTTAGTTTGTAAAAAACTTACATGCTTTTTTTTCTAAATTATTAAATTTATGTGTATTGTTGGTTGCCTGCACATGTAAAGAAGATATTTAATATTTTTATTGTTTTAAAGGTATATTGTTTGAAAATTTTAAAATTTGTAATTGAGTCATCCTTGCATCCGAAAACGTATGTCTGTGAAACGTCAAATAAAATGACAAGTCGAAAAGTAAAATGACATAATCAAAAAAATGATGATTTTAATAACTAAATTTATGATTTACTTTCAAAAAAGAACGGTCCTACTCGTATTATTATACGTCGGCGACAAATTCCAGCCTATTTTGCCTTTTTACCTTTCGACTTGTCATTTTATTTGACGTTTCACGTGCAGCTAGTTCAAATACAGACATACGTTTTCATATCCAAAGATGACTCGATTACAAATTCTCTTGATTTTGATATAATTAAACTAACCCATTTTCCTTCCAGTCATTGGGTAACCACGAATTCGATTTCGGCGTTGAATCCCTCGCCCCTTTCGTCGAAGGCGCCCAATTCCCCATCGTCGCTGCCAACCTCGACTTCACCGAAGAGCCTTCCCTCCTCAAAGTAAAAAAATCGGTGGTTCTCGACATTTCAGGCCGAAAAGTTGGTATCGTCGGTCACCTCACCCCCGACACTCGCATCATGTCTCAGCCCGGGAAGGTCAAATTTTTGGACGTCGTCGAGTCCGTCAAAAAGGAAACTGAAGTACTCGACGCAGCCGGCGTTAAAATAATAATTATTTTGGGGCACTCGGGCTTCGACATGGACTTGAAAATCGCAGCGGAAGTGCCTTTGGCCGATGTTGTTATCGGAGGACACACAAACACATTTTTATGGAATGGGGCGCAGCCCGATTTGGAGAAACCGGAGGATATGTATCCCAAAGTGGTGGTACAGAAAGGGGGGAAGAAAGTGCCAGTGGTCCAGGCTTACGCCTATGCGAAATATTTGGGGGTTTTAAATGTGACTTTTGATGGGAAAGGGGATTTGATCGGTTTTAAAGGACAACCGATTTTCCTGGATAATGGTATTCCTCAAGACCAGGACGTTTTAGATTTGTTGGAGGAGTTCAGGCCTGCTGTTGATGACATAGATAAAGAAGTAGTGGGGAAATCAGCCGTTGTGCTTGATGCCTCTGCGAATAAATGTCGCGTGGTTGAATGCAATTTAGGGAATTTGATTGCTGATTCATTTGTTTATTACATTGCGGCCCAACATGTCGGTCCCGGATGGACGGACACACCCATTGGGTTGATTAATGGTGGTAGTGTCCGCACTATCATCGACCCATCGGTCCATGGAGGGAACATAACCCGGGGCGAACTTATGGGTACTTTACCCTTCGACAACCAAATCGTTTCATTCAAACTCACAGGATCACAAATTCTTGAAACTCTTGAAATCGGCGCTAGAAGCAACGGAGAGACTTCCAAAGGCGAATTTTTACAATTCTCGGGGCTGCATGTGGTTTACAATATGAAAAAACCAGCATATTCACGTGTCGTGTCTGTGAAAGTCCGCTGTGGTAATTGTAGTGTTCCCATTTACGAACCTCTCGACCCGAAAAAGGCCTATGGGGTGGTTGCGCCGAGTTTTTTGACCACAGGGGGTGATGGACATGAAATTTTGGCAATTGCGGCGGATAAGAGTGGAAGAGTGCAAGATTTGCGGGATGTTGATACGGTTGTGTGGTATTTGAAAAGACAGACGATTGTGTATCCGGAGGAGCAGGGGAGGATTAGGTTTGTTGAGAATAAGGGGGAGAATGCACCATCGGGGGCAGGCAGGACTTTTGGTGTTTCGGCTTTGGTTTTAGTTGTTATGAAAGAGGTTGTAATGTTTAGTGTGAAATAAATTTTATTTTCATTAAAAAACGGAGAATTCTTTCATAGAAACAGTTTTAAAAAATTAACTAAGATCGTTATTATTTTGAAAATTTTATTTTTCTTGTTTTTTTAGTTTTTTAATCCATTAACTGGGTTTCGTTTATGCGTTTGGTCTTCACTCTTATTTTTGTCCTTTATGTGCATTCTTGATTTTCCATCATTCTGATTTCTCTGATGATAAATCTTTCTTTTTGTTCGTACTTTTTTCCTTTTTTTTTTGTTTTATTTTTCTACACTATTATAACACAAGGAAATCAAATCAAATATGATTTTTTGGCGTTTTTTTTGTTTCTTTTTTATTATGTACAACGAAGTAGGACCTAATATGTTACTTCTGCATCAAGGTATTTGCCATCTTAAAAACAAAGAGAACCCTAAAAATTTAGCTTTTTTCCGAAAGTAAACAACCAAAAAGTGCTAATTTCAAAAGGATGAAAAACTATTTTGGAGTAACTAAAAACGAGGGATTTTAAACCACCTTTTCAATTATATTAATAACTTATTTTTTATTTCGGTGTCAGAATGAGCATTTTGTGCAACTGAAAACAGTTGCATAAACTTTTTTTTGGTGATATTTTATGCAATACTTTGGCTATCACTGGCCATAGACTACCGTTTTTAAGTAAGAAATTATTACAGTTTAACGTATTTCACCGAAACTAGTGCAATTAAGGCTATTTTCGAGCAATTTATATACCGCATACGTCAAATGTCAAAAACTTTAACTGTCACATATAATAATAATAGTTATTTATTGTAAGAGTGTGTTAGGTAGCGTTTAATCCACGCAAGAATGTTTAACCGCGAGAACGTCAGTTCGAGCGGTTAATTTTTTTAAGTGGATAAAACGCGACTAACACACGACTGCAATATAACGTTTTATCCACAATCACAGGCCCAAATTATTCCAAACATAATTAAAAATTAAACTGACATTTAAACGTCACGCCAAATGTGCTTTCGGTTAAACGTAATAAGCTGTTACGTGGTGCGCTGGTTACTAACAGTGGAATAAAGTTACTTTATTCCACTAGTGGATAAAGTGGTACTTGATAAGCATCTAAAGTGTGGAATAAAGTCTCTTTATAGAGTGATTGTGGATAAATTTAATTTATAAAGTGCTCAATAAAAAAATAGTATAAAAAACGGCTGTTAGAACCTCTCGTTATGATACTCGTGCATTTGTAATACAATGAGAGAGTTTGTAACATTTGTTTTTAAATATACTATTGTAGGTTAATTTTCAATGATTCCTATTGTTTTTTTGATGTGCCCAATTGGTCCAGAAAAAAAAAACATTCTGGGGTGTTGAGGGATTTTAATAAGAATTTTTGCTTTTTTTCGTTTGTTTCTTTAAAAAATCATTTTTCAATAATTTTTGCATCACCCATTGGCTTGGTCCAGAAATGAAAAGCTGTATTGGGGTGTATAAAAACAAGAGGTTTTAAAATGTTTTTTGGGTGTTTTTAACGTAATTATGATTTTGGGTGATTTCTAAGCGTTTTTAGTGTGCCCAATTTTTGATGGTCTATAGATATTTGGGTCCCTACTTTCGGGGTGCATAAAAATTAGTGATTTTTGAAGGATTTTTTGTCTCTTTTCGGTTATGTACCTTCGGAAAACCAGCTCTGTTTTTTAGAGTGCCAAATACCTTGGTCCAGAAGTAACATAATGAAGACCCTTATTATTACACCCAATAAAATCATCCCTGTGCCCGCTAAGTCCCCCCCCCCTCTTCCTCTTCATCCATTCTTTTATGTCCTACCACCCTGATTTCTCCCCAACCCGATCATTTTTATCACCCATTTCTCCGCCACTTAACCCGTTTTATCATCCCTTTGGGTCAAATTCGGTAAATCCTTCCAGTGTGTTCCTCACAACCTCCCAACCACTTTGTTAATTTATACTCTACCATTTGTTTTATTTAAATCACTTTAAACTCGCCGCAACGGACTAATAATAAAGTGCCAGATGTTCTAACGACCCGACGCGCCACCCCCCTTCTAATCACGTTCATTGAAAGACATGTTGCGACCATATTGCGCCCAAATTTCGGTTAGAACACTAGTCAGTATTGATCGTTCTATGGACGAAAAAGACGCGAAAATGGTGCTCGATGAAGTGGCGAGTGAGAAAAGAACGGCCGCCGAGGCATTTGCCGAGTATTTGCATGAGAATAAAGGGCGGAAATTGAGCGATGAAGACGTTAAGGTGCTCTTAAGGAGGGCTTTTCAAGGCTGTGATCTGGTGTATGGGAAGGAAGGGAATGGACGGGAGGAGGAGAAGGGAGACGACAAGTGATTTTGTGCTCAGTTATTGACTTTGAACCAGTGCTCTGTCGTATCTTATCGCAAGGGTGACAAGTGTAACGAGAGATGTCGCCACCAGTGCGAATTCAGGGGCTAGTCATGTGGTGCCAGTTTGCAATAAAAAACCATAGACATTAATTTATTTTAATATAAGTTATGACTAGACAATGTTTTATAATTCGTGTGACTAGATTTAATAAATTAGCTTACTTGAACTAATTTACATTTTTTTGGATGGTAGCCCTGTGATGCAGCGAGGTTGGAAATAGTGACACAAATTTTGTGACAACATAAATAATAATTAAAGTAGAGATTTTCAAGCCTAGAATAGCTAAAATGTAAATTTAAGCAATTATTCTTATTATTTTTTTAGTAACTTTAATCCCGCTGACCTATTTTTACAGTGTCATATGTAAAATACACACAACACAAGCAAGTTTTGTGTTTTTTGTCTTTTTTTAGTACCAGGTGATTGCAAAAACAAGCGCTCCCTTCGCAATTTCACCCTCGCCCTTATTTTTATTGAATTGAAGCAGAAATGAAGCGACAAGGGGTTAACTACAACAAAAAATATACTCTTTTTCATATTAATGTGCATCAAGTAGGTTGTAGAAGTCTAAATGAATCTTTAATTTAAAGTCCGATTTGCACAAAAAAGTATCATTCAAAACAAATTTAATCACATCAATAATGACAAAAATCTTTATGTTTGCTATGTTGTTAATTTTAACTATTTTTTGCTACATGGGGTACACATTTATTTGAAAAAATTTTTTTTAGGGCAGATTGAGTTAAGGATTGTTTGAATTTTCGCATGGTTGCCACCTTAAAATGATCCCTTTCAACGACTACTTCGATGCACATAATATGAAAACGAGTATATGTAATGTTTTGTTGGTTGAAAAAAATTAAAAAAACTAACAGTTTTAAAAGTAAAAACGACGGTATTTTAAAAAATTTGCCAACTCAATTTCACAATTACAGGCTACTATGAGCTGAAATTTAATTGGAAATAGAAAAGTAACTATGAATTAAAAAAATGTATTAATAATAGAGAAATTTTAATACAATCTTTTAAATAGAAAAAAAATCAAATTTGTGTTTTTGTCTCTAAATTTGTTTAACTAGAGCATTAATAAATATAAAATGAAAAATTGACAAAATTAAAGATAATTTTCATCATTTAGAGGAAAAACAGTTGTACAAAATCCTCGTAATTGCGAATTGGGTGAATGTAACCATTTGATTGTGTTGAAAATTGCAAATTAACTCGAATTGAGGCAATTCATAACACTTGCGTCTACGATATTGCCTCGATTTTTTTTATTTTCTTATTAATGAAGTTGATACCCAATTTGTGTCATTATTTCCAAACCCCAAACAATGCACAATGAAATCCCTCTAAGCCTAAAATAAATTAAAAAACCCTACCTTCTATTCTAAAGCAGTCTTTGCTCGTTTATTGTCGCGTAATTTACCTAAAAAAATGACTAGAAACCATAAAAATGCAGCCGCTACCCTGTGCAAAGGAATGATGTTTCGAATACGAAACGCACTTTTTCTATTCCCTGTCCTGGAGGAGCTTCTCAGTCAAACTCTTGACTATGGGATGATCCGGTGGCAATCCTTGCGAGGATAAAAACCGAATCGTCTCCATCGCACAAGCTGCATAGCCTGCGGCTTCCGGATCGTGAATTTCTTCGCTTCTTTCGAGGTCGGCCTGCAGTTCGCACACTTTCTGGAGGCAGAGTTTCAGCATTTCGGTGACGTGATCACGACTCTGCCAGGATTAATTAATTCTTATGTTAATTCGAGTGTCGTAAATCATCTTAGATAAGTGGTAGCAAACAAAAAGAAGGCGAAATACACGCGTTGCTGTTACTAATTTATCATCGGTTTTTGTCGACTTCGTGATTTTCGTAGTAATGAAGATGGCTGAGTTATAGAAGCCAGAAAAATCTGGACGGGGTTATTAATGCATTTTTGATGAAAATTATTGGGTTTGTTCAAATAAAAAATCGATTTTCGATAGGTTGTAAACTATATTTTCAACTAGATTGTGTTTACTGGAGGCAATTTATTAAATTGGCGATTTATTCAAGTTAAAAGTGGCGCAATAAAGGGCTTTTATTAACGAAAATTTGTTAACAAACTACTAACAAATATTTATTATGCCATTAGATTTATTGTGAGATATATTTTTCCCTTAACAATCTTGTTTTAAGTGCATTTATTTGTTAGTGCAATTATTGAGAATATGTGGAAAAAATCAAGTTAAAAACGTCAATAAAATAGAAGTAGTGGAAGAAAATGATAAGCAATAACAGAAAGAGAAAATTAATGAAACTAAGTAAAGCAGAAACAAAAAAATACTAAGCAAAAAAAAGTTACTTACATGAAATAAAAAAAAAACAATAAATTGACAAGACAACCGCAAAAACAGATTAACAAACCGGAGGTGTAAATGTAAGACAACAAATTAAAATAATAACACAATAAGTGAAATAACAGTAAGAAGAGAAAAGAATTAAAGTAACGAAACATAATGCGAATAAAACATACAGGGTTATTCATAAAAATGAAGCAATATTTGAACCTCAAAAATGACTCATAAAATTATGTTAATTTTTATAAAAACTCGTGTCCTATCTCTACTGATAAGAATTTTACAGCCCTTGGAATTTGGGAATCGAAATTTGTTTTTTTTTTGTAATAACTTATCTTTAAAACGGTTCATTTTAGGGGTATTAAAGGTTAGGTGTTTTTTATTCAAAATTGATTACTTTATTGTTTTTGGGAATAAAAAATTAATGTTAAGCGGCCAAAAAAATTAAATAACAAAGAAAATGTGATTTGCAACTGCTGGAACCGGAAATTGAGTAGATGTATCCGGTTTTCGTGATTACCAGTTTAAAAAGTATGTTCTCGCAAGTAACTATTCCAAATTTTATAACATTTGGTCAAATGGTTCCGAAGTTATTAAAAAAAACAATTTCTAGGTATACCCAAATTCCAAGGGCTGTAAAATTCTTATCAGTAGAGATGGGAGACGGGTTTTTATAAAAATTAACATCATTTTCGAGGTAGTTTTTGAGGTTCAAATATTGCTTCATATTTTTGAATAACCCTGTTGAGCAAATGACAAAAAACAATAAGCAAAAGCAGGATTTTTATTATTTTTTAGAATATGACGTAAACAAGAATAAAGAATGAGCAATAAGGTCAGAAATAAAACATAAAAAATATAGAAAACAAATTGAATCAAAAGTAAATATTACAAAAAGCAATTTATTTATTTATCTATTTATTTCTGATTGGTATTCACTGAAGTAAATGATCAATAGCAGTAAAATTCAAAAATTAGACTGTTGATAATAAAAGATTTCATTTCAATAATTTTAGTCTGAAATTTGATTTAAAACCCATCAAAACCAGATGGAAATCGTTCCCACTCAATTGATAAATAAATAACACACATCCTATAAGTTTTCTACCAGTTCTTATAAATAAACTCACTTGATCTAAGTTTAGAACACTCCCGAGGTCTATTACCTTCATGCAAGAAAGATTTAACAACCCAAGGGTGAAATTAATAATACGTAATTTATCGTATAAAGTAAGTAGTTGGAGTCGCGTAAACTGATAGTTTTTAAACTAGAGCTGAAACATGAAACATTTTATGCTTTTAATAGCACAGTAAGTAAAGGTTTATAACGCGATAAAAAAACTTGAATGGCCTTTTACTGACAAATTGAAAAAATTACACTTTTTTGAAGCGAAAAAAGTAATAAAAACGTGTAAATACCCTCACGTGTCTAATCCTCCTATGTCCAGCCTTCCTGGTGTCCCCCTTGGGTTTCTTCATGCTGGCACCACAACACGAGAATTGCTCTGGATTGTCGTTGGTCTCTCGTCCGTCTGAACGATCGTCTGGAAGGTAACTCCAGCTGTCTTCGGTCAATGCATAGGAAATTGAAACTTCCACTTCTCTCTTCCTCTTTCTTCTTCACTCACATGTAGTGGTTTACGCACTAGCGGTGCGTTCGACCTGCCACCATTTTCACGAAGCGATCTCTAATCCAACACACGATTAACGTTCGGCGAGTGGTGCCGCTTTCTTATTCCAAATCAATTCGGCAGCTGCCAACTGACAGATGTACGAAATAAGTGCTTTTATGGGGCCGCTTCACCAAAGAGGAGGGCGACGGAAACGAACGGACTGCGCGCCCAACAGGTGCAACGCCTGGCTTTGGGATATTGGGCCGGTTTTAAGTCTTGCTAAATAAGCGGTTTTTTACCAACAATCAAGAGAAATAAATTAAATTTAAGAATTCAAATGTATAAAAAAGACTTTCTATAGATTAATAAAAACCCATTTCATAATGACTTTTTTTATAAATTCAGGAATTTGCTCCATTTGAATATTCAACAAAGTATTTTCTTTTCAGGTTTATTTACATTTTTTTGTAATTCACGGAATTATAATTCTAATAGAGTTAATTGGAAAAAATCGTTAGTTGCTTATTTAAATAAACAAAACATTTTCAAAATTCTTGATCTTTGAGTTCACTCAACTTGATTTCAAAATTTCTTATTTGGTAAAGGTTGTAGCTTAATTTTTTATCAAATATATAATTTATTAAACTCATCGAAAATAAGAAATTGCGAAGTCACACATTGGAGATAACAATAAACAAATTAAGATAACAAAAAAGTGTTAAACTTACCAGGTGAACACAAAGTATGGTACCAAACGTTTTTTTCTTTAACTATTTATTTTTGAAAAAACTAATAAATGAATGATAAAGTATAATACTACAAAAATGTGATAATTCTCAAGACTACATTTTTTCAATTTGTTTGTTTTTCAGCTTTGTATAATTTTTAATTCTTTTTAATGGCAATCCACTATAAAATCTTTTTTTACTGGTAATCGATCTCCATTTTATTTGATTTTGTATGGAAAAAAATTTCCAGTTTAGAAAATCACATTCACTCTTATTTTTATTAATTAGTCACATTATTATCAGAAAGCAAATGATTAAAAGAAGAACGCTTGGTTCCATCCTTTTTGTCCATCTTGTAATTCATAGAAATAAATAAAGCAACTTGAATAAATACACATAACAGAGCAAAAAATCAATAAAAAATTGTCCAAGAAAGATATTAATAATAAAACATAAAAAAATAAAAACGTTGAAATGTAATAAACACAATAAAAGAAAATAAAACACAAAGTATGTACAATCTAGTACATGCAAGGTGAGTTATTCTGGATATATAAAAAAAAAAAATAGAAAATTTCTAGACAAGTCAATTTTTATTTACAGGAGGACACTTTTTAGTGTACTTTCAAAATTTGTAGTACCTACCGTTTTGGTACGTAATAGTTCAAATAAAAGATATTTTGATCAGGATTTCGGTTTTGTGTTTTTTTAACTTTCGATTGTTTTTTATTAGGTTACATGGTGCTCAGTTGTTCGTAATACGAAGTATGAAATGCATAAAATACAGTTAAACTAAATTTAAACTGATATTTTTTGTTATGAAAAAAACGAAAAAAAATTATCAGGGCTATTCAAAATGGTCAGGTAGCTTGTTCTGCGTAATGTAAATAAAAAATACTCAAAATTCAAACAGAACACAGCCGAATTTTTGGTCAAAATAATTTTCAGTTAAAGTACCACAAAAGGGGTGGTGCCATTTAAAGTTTTGAAGGGGTTGTCTGTATTATCAAAGGGGTAGGTACTACAAATTTTGAAAGAACATTAAAAGGTGCCCCCTGTAAATAAAAATTGTCTTGTGTAAGAATTTTCTAATTTTTGTTTATCGCCTTGAATAACGAGACAGGGAACGAAACATATAGAATAGAACAAATTAGGGTAACTTATTTTATAGAAAAAAATTGAGATAAAGAATAAAAAAAGAGTAAAAAGGTATAAAAGGAATAGTAAAAGGAGAACAGAAAAATAGAAGCGGGACGAAAAAATAAATAAAATTGTTGAGAAGCAATATTTTAAAATTTGATGTTTATTAATTTAAAAAAATGGCAACAAGCGTGCAATTATAACACCCCTCATACGTAAAGCTCCCTATTTGAAGCAGCAACTATATGCAGATGGTAAACACGGCACGGGAAATCCCTATCGTGGAGGTGGTGCACCCGTGCCAACTGTCTGTTAGATAAATAGTTCAGAAGCTCCACCCCCATTACAATAAACACATCAATAACATTGTTTTAATAACATTTTTTTATCAAAGAAACTACTTTGTGAGTAAACAAACATTTGCAATGAGTTTGCATTAAAATAAATTCCAATTTGGACAATAATTTGATACTTCAAGGTGTGCCAGGTGCATAACAGATGCAGAATAGCCCAATACGTTTTACCTGTCTTGGTTTTATTGGCTGAAGTTTAGTCAAAAATTGTCGGTTTTTTTGCAATGCTTCAACTCGGAAGATTTATCATTTTTGTTAAATGATCCGTTATGTACCGAATAAAGTTTATTAAAAAAAAAACGAGGGGGCTTAATTCAACCGTAATTTAAGTGAATTTTATATTTAAATCACTTGATATTTGATTTAAAAAAAAAGCTAGATCGGGCACTATTGGAAGTGGATCCGGTTAAAATCCCATCAGGGTGTAAAAATTCAAACTAACCAATTTTTCTGCTAAATTTCATTCTCGGTGCGCTCTATTCATTCGGATTTATTCAAATCTGCCCCAAAGGGAAAAATTTACAATTCAGACAGTGTACATTTAGCATTTATTTGAAATTGCTTTTTAACAGGCGATAACTTGATAAATTTCGGTTGAGACAGTGGTGGAAATAATTCGATTCTTGACCTAATCGAGGAAAAAGTCGGGAAAAAAAAGCGAGCGTGTTCTTAATCGACACGTAGGGAATTTGGAAGCCGGAAAAAGTGGCATTACCAAGTGTTCCATTCTATATTTTTCTAAGAGCGAATAAATGAATTTTTAATGTGAATAGGGAGATAATGTAAACATTGGCCAGACTATTCAATCTAGACGTGTATGTACATACATAGCTAATTAACTTTTGCTTGTGAATTTGAATTTCTAACTTGTTTCAAGTAAATGCAAATCTCAGGACGTGCACTAATCATCTACACCCACGTTGGGGAAATTTCACTTTAGAGTTTTGTTGGTGTTAAAAATAAACGTTAAAAAAATCTTTCCAGAGTACGAGTGGAGCAGCTTGATTGAATTATAAATTGAATTGTTTAAACTTATTCTAAACCAAAATTAATTATTTCATCATTTTTATACATACAATGTCTGTTTTTGTAATAGAGAAGGAACAAAAGACAAAAGAATTATATGAGAAACAAGAAATGAAATTTCTTTCGATTTCGGGTCTGTTATTTTAGGTCAAAGATCCCTGCCTTATCTATGGATAGATATTTGAAATAAAAATACTTTTTTTTTCTAAATAAAAATTGTTCTTGGTGGTTTTAGCATTCTGCAAGATTTTAACAATCTTGTTTTCCAATTTTATGTTAGTTTTATCTTTTAGTGCCACCCCTAGTTTACAAAATTCGCCACAATATCCATTCATACTTACCAATTTTATTTTCAGCTCATTGATTGGGTTTATCGTGTTTGCTTCATAAATTCAATTTAGTCTAACTTTGTAAGCAAAAGTGAGCTTTATGTATTTTACAAGACATAAAATATTTCTTTCATAATTTGTACAAGACTTAATTTACATGGAATAAATGCAAACCCATTCATACAAAAATAAGATAAAACTTGTTAGATAGAGTAGAAAATTCGCATCGCTGGTTTGGGATCTAAAATGTTAATTTATGACGAATGGAAATTTTACAGGAAAAGGTAGTTTTGCGCGTTTTCCATACTTGCCTTGAAAAATCTGTTGTCACAACGTAGATTATCCTATTGTACAACTGGGTGTATACATAGTGAGCACATTTCATTTGTCTCTCATAAAATTGGAGCGTTTATTGTGTTGCGTGACATTAGAGATAAGACAGTCATATAATTTTACGAGGGACTAATAAAATCAACTTATTCATGCATAACACTTGATTCTGTATCTGCTCTTACCTTATTTGCAACAATTAAACCATAACTAGCTATATCGGGCAAATCCTCCCGGATTTGCAAATGTTTTGTGGAAGTAGTCGTTGGGACAGCCCCTCGCTCCTCGTGTAGAACTCGTATTTGAAAAATGTGGGGGCTTCGTTCCTCAAGTAGATTTGCTTCGCAAATGTCGACATTGTTGTGGGCTTTGTCCCCGAATAGTACTCACACTACCTGATTCGAAATTGTCGGGGACTTCGCCCCCGAGTAGAACTCACAATACCTGATCCGCAAATGTTCGACACTGGTTTTGCATCGTTTTCACCGTACATTTCATGCATTATTTCCGTCATATCAAATTTGACTTCCTTTTTCGGCCTCCGTCTAAAATTAGTGATTTTCCAATCGTTCAAATCGTTTTGAAAACACCCATTTGCGTGTCTTGGCAAGAAAATAAAAACAGGGTTTTTAAATGAAAGTTTTTGTATTGGTAGCATTGAGTGACACTGAAATGTCAAGTCTGTTCTATAGTTCTCTTTCTGTTACAAATTCTGTCCACTGCCACTTTTCATCCAAGATTCAAGCCTAAAACAGCTTTCCACACAGCCATCAAATCACCTTTTGGAAGTCTGCAAAAACGATTTAAACATAACCTCAAACRATGATGAATGACTAACCGGTGAAAACTGATTCCTTCGGGCCCAAATCTCGTCGTATTTCTACACCATTTCACTGCACACGACATTTTGACCGAAAAGTCGAATTAGAATGAATCGAATTTTAAGAAAATTTTCAGAAGCCCATTTCTTCAACAAATCGTATTCTTTCCAATAAC